TGTGTCAGTCTTTCGGGGGCTGGACCTCCATCCACAGCAGGGGGGGCAGCTCCAGGCCTCTATGGGCCTCTTTGGGCTGCAGGTTTTAGAGCTTCCCAGCTGGTCCCGGTCCGATATCTGGATCTGATCGGCCGCCAATATTCGGCCGCCCACACGAACATTAGCATTAGCATTAGCATCTGTAACCCACAGGTCTGTGTCCTAACCATTAAGTTGTTATCAGAGTAAATCCCTGTTCAACATGAGTCTGACAACTAAATAAGTAGATAAATAACTTTAGACTTTAGTACAGGCTCTGATAGGCCGGGATCGGTATCAAAAAGCTGGATGGGGACATCCCTAGCTCGGGCCCAGCCAGTGTCAGGAGGCGCTCCATCAGTTTGGGCTGACAGGCACCTCTGGCTAGCCGCTGGCCATCACACCATGCTGGTCTATCCTCCACTGGCCACAAAAAGGACGTCTACAAAACAGCACCACAAAGCCGCCGACAGGGGTCTGACTCCTTTAACAGGGCTCTGACTCCTCTGACAGGGCTCTGACTCCTCTAACAGGGCCCTGACTCCTCTGACAGGGCTCTGACTCCTCTGACAGGGGTCTGACTCCTCTAACAGGGCCCTGACTCCTCTGACAGGGCTCTGACTCCTCTGACAGGGGTCTGACTCCTCTGAAAGGGGTCTGACTCCTCTGACAGGGCCCTGACTCCTCTAACAGGGCTCTGACTCCTCTAACAGGGCTCTGACTCCTCTAACAGGGCTCTGACTCCTCTAACAGGGCTCTGACTCGTCTAACAGGGCTCTGACTCCTCTAACAGGGCTCTGACTCGTCTAACAGGGCCCTGACTCCTCTAACAGGGCGCTCCTCACCCACCATCACCAGATAAATGCATTTCATCACTGGGGGCTGTGATGTTGTTTGATGTTTTTCCATCTTCATAGAAGCCATAGAGAAAAAAAGACTATTTAAAGGAGAGAGGAGAGGCCTGATTGCTCTTTCTGTCTGAGTTGGACATGAGAAAATGCTGATGAAAGGACTCATTGTCACCGGTTCCAGCTCGGGCTCCTTTTCTCTGCGTGGCATTCTCTCCTGCCGGAGCTTTGACCCTCTTTTGAAGGCTGCCGTGTGCTTCAGGGGCAACGGGTTCACCTGGTCGTTAAGAGCCTGGCGAGGAATCTCTGGGGCTGGACAGCAGAGGACAGGTCTGTGCTTCCTCTGACAAGACAACGAGCTCTGGACTGAGGGCCTGAGTCATTCCAAGAAAAAAATGGACTGGAAAATAGCCAAATCATTCATGTGAGTGTTTAGATAAGAAGAAGAAGAAAAACAAGAAGAAAAAGAAGCAGAAGAAGAACAACAACAACAACAAGAGGAACAAGTAGAAGAAGAATAAGAACAACAAAAAGAAGAACAAGATGAAAGAAGAGGCCATGAAAATTCCACCTCACGGTTTTGAAAAGCCCCCTGACCTGCTCCCCTGACCCTTCCAGAAACTAACTTTTCCCATGAGCTACAGCTGGCTCCTGGGCTGGACAACACCAGTGACCAAAGC